TCCTTGATTATTGAGAAATCGGTGTTGACAATGTCTTTTCGGCCATTAATAAAAGATGTTCTTCTCATCAAAATACCCATAGTCTCTTAAGATTGTTTGAAAGGTTGTCATCTGACTTTTCGAAGAAAATCGGGATTTCTGTCGGACGTTCTATAGATTTGTTACAAGCATTTAGATTTAATATAAACAAGTAAAAATATTAAATAATAAATTAAATATTTAATAAAAAAGTATTTTTTATTGTTGTTTTTTACTTTTAAAGAATATATCTTTAAGTCTTTAAATTATTTTTTATTTAGATTTAATAAATATATATTAAATTAAATTAAATTTTAAAAATATTTTTTTATTAATTTTTTATTTAAAATTCAAAACTAATAATATTGTTATAATATACTATATACGTACTGTATATAATTAAATTTTTCTAAAATAATATATCAAAGTTTGATTAAAAATTTTTTAAAATATTGTATATAATTATATATGTATATATTTAAATACAATAAAAATTAATATTTTATGTAAGTTTTTAATTAACACTTTATTATATTTTGTAAATATTAATTAGACTTTATAAAATATATAAGTTTAAATTTAAAAGTTATAACAAGTAAATAGAAATAAATAAAAATTATTATATTGTTTAATATATAAATTCGATATTAAACATATTTTTTATTTTATTAAAACTATTATCGTCTTATTAATAAAAAGTTTAATTTATTTGAGATTTATTTGTTTTTTAATAATCGGATATTAAATTAGAGAAAACACATTTTTTTTCTTTTAACAATATATTTATTGATTTTAAAATAAATATACCATGTAATAAATTTTTATTATAATCAAAACATTTTATTTAATTTGAATTTTGAATTATAAATTTTAATTGTAAAAAATTTTATTTTTGAAAAAATATTTTTATTTAACCGTACATGCATATACAATTTGCGTATATGATGGATATTTCAATTTCAATTTATAATAGTATAAAAATTCTTTTATAAACAATATTACTTTATGTAAATCAGGGAAATTAATTATGAATTATTGAATACTATTATACAATCAATTGTATAGATTGAACGCAAGATAAATTTTTTGTTTTTATTATGAAAATTCAAATGAAAGTTTTATTTTTTCCAACTTCAGGTGATCTTTATACATGAAATTAATATATAAGAATTACGAAGTAAAAAAAGAAAGTTATTAAAAAAAGATTTTTCGTGGCCAAATATTGTTCATTTATGTTCCAAATGTATGCCTGGAAATGAAAATTCGTTCCAAGATATATCTAGGACACTACGATAACCTTTGCCCGGACGAGAAACATTAAGATTAAAATCACAACTATTTGAACCTATGTTCGCTGATGTTTCATCATCGAAAGTCACTGAACGCTCTTTTTCTTTTTGTTTTCCTGTACATAAATCATTATTTGAGGTACATGCACCAAATTCTTTAACATTAATCTGGTCCACATTTTTTGAAGTAGGGTATCGAAAAGCTAATAATTTATCATCACAATTTTTAGACCCGCTCCAAATTCTTTCAGTTCG